TTTGGCAATAAATAAAGAATAGAGATAAGATAACAAATAGGGGCAACTTCACCATTTCCCACGGTTAAATAAATCAAGATATGTTTCAACCGTAAGATAATAATTTGCTTCATAAAGGAAGTCCTTTATTTAAAAAGAGGGGCATTTAATTGTATGCTAGATGTTAAAAACTTAAAAAAGTCTTTCCTTTTTCAGCATAGTACGTCATCAAATGGTAACGTGTTGTTGGACATAACATTTTGCAAGTGTTACAATCCCTAAAACATTTCAAAAACATCTCACTTAAAGCAGTCAGAGAAGTTATTGACTTCTGACTTATCCGAATAGACTTTGGTTTATGGCTTATAGTTCTGAACTCAGCACTGATATAAATGGGCAGGAACCTAATAAACTTTGCCAAGATATTCCAGTAAACAGCAACAGACACTAACCTGTCTAACTTAATGGCCTTGAAAATGATGTTCTAAATGGAAAAAAAACACATCACAAACATTAAAACTGGGCAAGTGTTTGTTTGTGTTACTTGTTGTGCTGATGTGAAGATGCCTAAAACATAAAAGATCCCACAAGAAAATGGACTCCCACTGAGAGGCTGCTCTTTTTCCTTTTTGAGAGCAGATCCCAATAATTTAATGGAAGTTATTTTGACCTATTTTTACACCATTTCTGACATTTTTCTTCTTCCAAACAGTACACTGTTTTTCTTGACTTTGCTTTTTTTTTGGGAAAAACTGTTGCAATTACACTTTCCCTTCAAAAATCAAGAAAAAAAAATATGCAAGCTTCTAAAAAAACAAAACAAACAACTGTTGCTATGCTGCATTTATTATCATAATTATTATGATTTATTTCATTTAGATGCTGTTTCTGATTATAACCTTTAGAGGGGGGCATCAATACATGCGCTCAAGGGGGGATTTGATATTTTGGATAAAAGTCTCCATAGTATGTGTTTTGTTCTCAGGATGGGGATCTTCTGGATGATGAAGCTGTAATATTATTATTATTATTATTATTATTATTATTATTATTATTATTATTATTATTATTATTATTATTATTATTATTATTACTACTATTATTGTTATTATAAAATGCTTCGGCAAGCCATATTTAAAATTCTGAGAAAGTGAAAAAAACATTTCTTTATAAGTGGAAGTATTGCTCTTTAATTTGGCTATCAGAAATAATTATATAAAGCAGCCATTCTTATATATGGAGGATTGGGAACAAAACATGGGGAGTTGAGAGGTTTAATGCTATTCTGAGCTCCCTCTTGTGGTGGGTAGATGACATTACAATTTCATTCTGAGTGCTACACAGGCAGCAGCTCAGAAACTCTCTCTTTTATAAGTGAAAACAAAATGGAATTGTTTTCATAGATAATGAAGAATAGAGCAAACACTACACAACATGTAAGAAAAAGAAAAAAAAAAAAAAGAATAAAAAAAACACTTGATATTGCTTCAAAAGGTATAGGATCATAGATATAGATGATATTTGAATTTTGCCACATGGCCACTGCTTATTACAGGTCATTCTAAATAATTATTTGCTTTGCTTTGATACTTAACCAATTTTTTCTTTTCTTCTAAAGTTGTCATCGGTGAGGTTTATTTTATATGGAGCCAATTCTTTCTCCATTTGTTAGTTTCACATAAAGTCAACTAATTAGCAACCAAATATAGAAACAGAAAATTGGGAAGTAATTTCACACATTCTTTTAAATATGCCACAAAGTTATACACTCCTGTTTTGTTGTGCATTGCCCTGTATAGTCCACTACTGAGGTGGATAATCCATGTCCAGAAAGTAAAAAAACCCTGCCTTATTTCCTTCATCCTGTTCAATTAACCAGGTTATTAGTCTGCATTGTGGCGCTTCTAATGGAGATGGTTGGAACTGATCTCTGTACAGGCCTTTTACTTTCTCGACCTGGATTATCCACCTCTGCTCTTTATATTACATTTCTGTTCCCTCTAAACTCTGAAATCCAAGCAATTTATGGTATTTTAACCCGATCTACCAGGGAATAACTAAAGGAAAGTGTTATCAGAGGTAACTAAACTTATTTGGAGCCAATTTCCAGAAAATGTAAGTGACACAGAAGGCATATGGAAATTTATAATTAGATTATTTATGAAAACTTAATTCTTGACCTAAAACAACTTGAATTTGTACAGACTTTTACCTCCCTCTAAAGTCCGGGAATTTGATTAAGTGTAAAATTTTGATCTGAAAAGGGAATTTAGCAACACTGTGCAGCAGCCTGGTTCTTTTTCTCTTTATTTCTAGCAGATGTTTTGTACACATCTGTGTACTGTTAATGAATAAAGACTGACTCCCAACCCAAACTGTAGCCTATAATCATTTTAAGAGCCTATTATTCCTTTTCTATGCGCTTTTTTTCCCTACATTTTCTCCTTCCAACTAACCTCCATTAATATTTTGTTGTTGTTTTTCTCCAGCAAAAATATTTGTAAG